AGTCCGCTACGGCTATACGGGCGATCTGTGTCTTTGACACACGTGTGTCGGGAGCGGCGGCACAGTGGTGAGTGCACTCAGCTATACGAACCCAGCTACCAAATATCAATTGCCGAAAATTCAGACAACCCCCGAATTCTAACCCCGCGTCGTCGCACACCAGGAGAGTAGCGATCCATTTGCGTAAGCAGAGAGTGCAGTGCAACTGAGCCACACAGGCCCAGGTGCCAGGTTAGGTGGACAAGGGGGGGGGGGGGTTCATTTAATTCCTTGCACCAGGGACCTTGCCCACCACCAAGGCCCATGGTAATCACCGGGGTCCATGGCCATCACCAGGGCACATAGCAACCCCCAGGGTGCATGGCAACCACGCCACTTTTGCACATAGCTCTCACGTGTGTCAACAAGGGGACAGCCGCGCAATGTCAGAGCAGATGTGATGGGTCAGCCTAATGGACCCGGGCTCCCATCTGCCAAGTCTCGTATCGCATCGGCCGTAACGGATGACCTCACCCCTTTTCATGAACTGCACTGTGAGGACAAAAAAACAATGGATGGATTTTTTTTTTCCGGATCCTCAACGCCCGTGTCTGTATGGATATGGTTTTGCTTACACGGCGATAAATGCTGAATTCCCTCTGGAGCACAACGGCTGCGCGTGAGTGCGTGGTGCTGCCGTCCGCGCGCTCTACCGCTAACCCGGACACCCGAGTTTATATTCCCGATCACGGCGACCAACACTGTTGACGATTTCTGAACCGGTCCTGGGCCTCCTCCAGGTCCGCCTCAAACGATTACCCGATGCGGTGTGTAAACATCTTCACTGGGGAGACAAAAGCGGCCGGGCGTGGTGTTGGCCACCGCCTGCTCGTGTGCCGTTGCAGCCTTCATTAGGTGTGCTCGCTAACAGCACTGGCCCCATAAGTCTGTTAAGGCTACACGGGGGATCCTTGTCTTTGTATTGTGGATAGAGTTTATAAAAATTAGGTAGTTTACATACGTACAAGTCCTCAGAGTACAATCCTGGCCGCCCTGGTTTGTCTCTTCTCGTTGTGGCAGATTTCCAACTCATCACCACCACCACCAGCCATGATACATCCACTGCTGGATGAATGCTTCCCAAAGGTGTCACCATATCTCAAGAATTTTGCGATGTAATAATACACCCAGCATCAGCTGCTGCACACGAGATGGTTCCATCGTAACCTCTCGGCCTTGCTCCCTCCCTTGGCTGCCATTCCATCATTCTGCTCGACCACGAACCATTATTCCTTCCAGCAACGTGTCCCGCCGAAGCCCACCGCTAATGTTTCAGTCGGAATTATGTAATTAACCTGCCGATGGTCTCTTAATCAATGTGTTCCTATATCTGTGGATATATTACGAATGAGGATGACCACGGCACCGCGCGCTTTGAGATGCGCTTCTTGCGGCCGTCTGGAACGCTCCTCCTTCTGATATTAGGAAGCCCGCTGAGGCTGCGCCCTTTTAAATCCAGAGTGAAAACTAACTTCTGAAGAACAGCTTTTTGTGTTTAATTTGTTGACCATCACCCACCCCTCCGATGAGCACCGTTGGCAACGCGAGGTGCGAAAGAAGTTAAAACTTTACGTTCCTCCTGGTAACGTGTTTTTTTCTATTTCAGAACGTAAACAAAACAGAAACAAAGTTTGGGAGACAAAACGGCTGCCACGGGCATGACGCGAAATGCCCCGCGCGCCACTCCCCCCCCCCCTCCTCGTGTGCCACGCTACCCATAATTGGTGCTCGTTAGCAGCGCTGTTCCCAGCAGTCAGGCTGGGCTATAAAAGGGGCGATCTCCCGTGTGAGTGTCGCTTATGCAGCGGCGGCGGCGCGGCGGTGTCTAAGTGACCGTTCCCAAAAGTCAACGGAAAATCTGACCCCTTCCCACCCCCTCCCACCGCCTGTGTGACACGTGTTGATGGTCCAACAAAACAAAACAACACGTAACGTGCAGGATTCGAATCCGGACACGCACGAGCGAGCGAGCGAGGACGCACGCACGCACGCACAAATGGGTCGAATCGTAAATATTTGTTATTTTTGGCTTTGCCTCAATGGAAGCGGCAGAAAAACAACCTCGGTGCCGAGCGGCAGGGCACGTTTGCAGGGTAGAGGGGGGGTGGTGGTGTTTTTTTTCTGTATTAAATACAAAAACCACAATTGAGCGAAACATTTTTTTTTAATCTTCCACAGACCGCACAATGGAACGCTTTCCCCCCATTTGCACACGGTGCTGTGAGTTACTTCGCAATTTGGCATTCGTTTTTTTTCCCTCCCGGCGGTTTTCAAGGGGGAGACGGTTTTCCCTTCTCACGAAGCTTACGAAAAGCTAAAGTGCTCAAACTTTTCAGCCCGGCAACCGTGCCACTGCTGGTGGAAAGGCTTCCTACTGGAGGGAGCTGAAGAAGGCCCATTCCGGAGGCTATTGCAGCCTTCGCTTGTACACCTCGGGACCACGGAAGAAGGTATGGGGGCCGTCCATAAATGACGTCACGCGATTTTGGACGGTTTTTGACCCCCCCCACCCCGTCGTCGTCACACCGCGTCACAAAAAGTCAGACCCCACCCCCTTCAAATGACGTCACAAAGCTCTGCCCCCGCCCCCCCCCAAAAAAACATATATAAAACGTGCTTCAAATCGCTTTAAACTATCGTCATTGTAATTGTTTTTTTACCCTTTTATCTGGCAACAAAACTGACACCTTTTTTACAAGGAGTCGTGTTTACATTGACCACAATACCTGCGGTCGGAACGCAAACAAAAAACAACAACTCTGATAATGTATGTGGCACTGTCCTTGAAATTGATTGGTCCACACCCGAGACAGCTTTCTTTAGAGCCTCGTCTCACATGGTGTTGGACCAGAAGACGCCAAAAGGCGCACAACTCATAGACAATGCACCATCAGAGTATGAAAGACAATGCACCGTCAGAGTATGAGAGCTCTCATATTCTGATGGTGCATTGTCTTTGAGTTGTGCGCCTTTTGGCGAGGCTCTAAAGAAAGCTGTCTCGGGTGTGGACCAATCAATTTCAAGGACAGTGCCACATACATTATCAGAGTTGTTGTTTTTTGTTTGCGTTCCGACCGCAGGTATTGTGGTCAATGTAAACATGACTCCTTGTAAAAAAGGTGTCAGTTTTGTTGCCAGATAAAAGGGTAAAAAAACAATTATCATATTTTGTTACTGGCAAATGAGGTTTCCAATGGTATTGTCATTGTAGTTGCGTATTTAATGTGGCGCTGCACTCTGATGTTGTAGGAGAAAACATGTATTAAAAAGTCTATTTAATTAAGTAGAACGTGTTGCCTATATTTATTTAAAGTTGCGCATTTTGATGTGACGTCACATTTCTCAAACCCGCCCCCCACCCCTCGTCACACATCGTCACAAATGTCTGACTCCCCCCCCCCCCCCCAGTTGCGTGACGTCATTTATGGACGGCCCCTATCCACACACTCGATTTTTCACGGTTGGCTACGTACGGTGCGAAAGAAGCTCAACACACGTACACACGCAACCAGGAGGTGGCAGTGCCAAGATTTCACCGCACCGCAAGCGAGGGCGCAACCGGACGAGCAATCCAGAGGCTCGTCCGGTTGCGGCAGTTCAAACGATGGCCCAAAGTTCATTGAAATCCCCCACCCCTCCCTGCAGTAGAAAGCGGACGCACCGCACTTATTCAATCGGCAGGTCACACGAATGCGTTGTGGGGGTAAAAAGTTTGGGTAGTGCCACTTCTCTCCGAAGACGTCTGTCCAGCTTGGGGGGAGGAGGAGTAGAGGTCAAATATCCTCTTGATAGAAGCCATCTAGAGCTCGCTCGGCCTCACGTTAAAGACCCTTCCACCAGCAGCGGCGTGAGCGAGCAATTACCAGGGCCGCGCCCCTATCTTGCAATCTTTACTTCATGTATGCCAAAGGGAGCCTTCAAATGGACTGGCTGGCAAGCTTCACTTCTTTCACATCATCACCTTGATTAAGCCTCATTGTATTAATTTACATTCAATGCTACGTTTTATGGGACACCGCACATACAAGCTCCACCTCTTTAAAGTGGCTATGCAGTTTATTGATGTAGTATTACAGTTTCAATTAACATTAGAATTCTTTACTGCGTTGTTGTATATCGTGGTTATATTTCACAGGTTTTTTTGTTATGATTAACGTTAATTTTCACGTCCAGTGTCCTCAAAATTACCGAGCTAATTCAGGGGTAGGAAAGCCCTGTGTTTAGAAACACGCGTTCGGAGTATTTGCCTGCTAGACGTTTCCACGTGATGATGACAAGCCACTTCTCGTTGAACTATCATTTGTGTGGGCCTTGCCTGGTAGAATAAAAAATAGTTCAGTTTAGTTTATCCATTTTCTTAAAAGAACCCCTGCATTTCCACTGAGACCAGACTGTGTCCATTCACAAATGGTAATGTGATGATTTTTGCCTGTTTTTATTCACGTATTAAAATGAGTCATGATACTCGGCTAAGGCTTTCCTGGGGTAAACAAGCTGTAGTAGAAAAATTATAGAAATTAACTAAGTAAAATGTTTTACACGTAGGAGGCTTTCGCGACAAATATCTCCCATAATAGAGGGGTTTTTTTTGGTTAGATAACGAAAATATAAATGTTGTGTCGTTAAACCCGTCACCACCCGGCACGGCCAACTAGTAAGGTTTGTCACGTAAACAGAACGTGTCAATTCGTTACTAGTGCAGCACACCGGTTGTGTGTTGGACTGAAAATATTCTGGAACTGCTCTCAAACCCACCGGTGTGCTGTACTAGTAACGAATTGGCACGTTCTGTTTACGCGACAAACATTTACTAATTGTCTGTGTCAAGGTGACGGTGGCTGGTTTAACGACACAACATTATTATTTACGCGATCTAACCAAAAAAAACCCAACTATATTGTGCATAACTCCATTTGAAATCATCAATCACCACAAGGCCTGTTTCTGGAAAGGCGCAATACCAATGGCACGGTGTGCTGCAGTCCGATGCACCGAACTGGGATCGCCTGTGCTGGCCCCGTGTGAGAAGACTCGCTAACAACCAAGGCAGCCATCGCTCCACATTTCTAAAACAAAACAAACAAAAAATGATTTTTTTCAAATCAGCGCCGATCACATACCGTGGACTGATCGTTGTGAGCGTGGACAATGGCAAAGGAAAAGAAACCAACGTGGGATTCATAGAGGGTGGGAGGAGGAGACGCACGGATCACAAGATGAAGGGTGGAGGGACGTCATCGCAGAGACTGCGATGAAGAGTTCCGTGGGTTTTTGGTGGGACATTTCGCCACCGCCAACGCAATCATTTCGTTTGTTTTACATATATTTATTTTTCTTATCGATACAAACATGTGACATGCAGAAAGAAAAATAGTCCACGAGCGTGCACAAGTCAGCACATACCATGCTAGCCGCACAGAAACAAATTAACATCTCTGCAAGAATTTAAAAACCACACAGATAAGTGATGACCTTGCTTCCCCCCCCCCACCCACCCAAAAAAAACGCGTTAAAAAAATCGCCGTGTGCCTGCATAATCTCTATCATAAACTAACTACTACTATTTTTTTTACGCGAGACGGAGCGTTAGAAATCAGCTCTAGTGCAACTGCCGGGTGGACTGTTACGTCGCAGAATTGTGAGAGATGGCAGGCGATCGGGGAGGCCTTCATCCAGCAGTAGATTGACCATGGCTTCTGATGGTGATGGCGATGAACGCGGGCTGCAAGGGGATTGACAACACGAACTGTACAAGTACAGTACTCGTAGGACATCTGTGGGAAAAAAGAGCTTTATAGCTCATCAGATTCCTCCAGGATACATAAATATTCTGATGACGTCGACTTGTGTTTGTTTTATTTACCACCTTATCGAGGAATTGGGATCAACAGCAATAATACAAATTAAGGAAAAATATAACATCTATATTTAGATTTAAAGCTTTCGTGACTGCAAGGATTCATCTTCTTTGGTTCTTTCCTCCAGACAGTCTCGTCCCTTCACCTGATGAAGGCCGCTTGTGTTGTGGCCGAAACGTCGTGAGAATTTTATTGTGTTATTTTATTTTATCAATTTATTATTTTATTCTCATTCTACGTGACTTTACCGACCGAAAGAACCAAAGAAGATATAACATCTATAATTTACAATACGGTACGTGAGCCCCCCCCCCCCCCCCCCCAAAGTTAAAGATTAAAAAAACTAAAAGCGAAACAATAAAAAAGTCGATCGCGACTCCGTGTGCCCCGAGAATGGAGATTTGAGCAATCTGGGCAGACAAAACAACATTGGGGGGTGAGGTCAATCCATGGCGGCGGGCGGGGGCGCGTTATTAATAACCACAGCACTGAGGTGGCATGAAGGGCTCAGGCACCAAAACACAAACTATGTCTTTTATTTTAAAATATTTTTGTTATTTTGAAATAATTTTTTTTAGATTTAAAAAAAAATCATTTTACCTATTTTTTTATTTTAAACTATGCTTTTATTTGAAAGTATTATTTTATTTTACCGGGTTAAGGCCCCACTGAGCTATAGCCTTTTTTTCAGAAGCGACCAGGCCTGCCAAAAATGAATGATCAACGAAGTGGCCTATCGTCATGTGTAATTTTATAGCAGCAGCAGCAGCAGCCAAATGCTCTATAAAAAAAAGTTGATTCTAAATGTGGAAGGAAAAACTAGAGGACCCCGAGAAAAATCCACTATACCGCGGGGAGAGAGAGAGAGACGCAAACTCCAAATATACAGCGAGTGTCGGAGTCGGGATCGCACCCAGTACCTCCTGCATACCAGGCGAGGGAGTTAACAACTCGCCAAGCCAGGCACTGTGGAGGCGCTGGGTTCAAATCCAGGTTTCAGCCGTCCGTGATTAAACAGGGTTCTCGAGTGCAGTGGAGTTGATCGTCTCAGTCAACTCAGTCAACTTCACACAAAATAAATCAATGTTAGATCTGTGTAGTCCCACTTCATTTGCCAAAAAACTGACACTCGTACAATTGAAAATGTTTGGTTTCACCGGACGCGTGATGACCGGACGTGTAATGAACATTGCTCTCCAGCAGCGCAACGTGGGAGAGTGCCTCTCTCTTCGTGTGCGAATTTTAATAAGTAATATTTATTTTTAAACTTAAAAAAAACGTTTTTTCAAAACACGCTTTAATGAAATGTACCGTACTAGTAATGGAAGAACTCCACGACTCCAGGAAGTGGCCCCGAAGCTTGCCACAACGTAAGGGGACCGTGGCCAATTACAGCCAACCTCAGTTTACCGTGGACAATTAGAGCCAAGCCGAAACATAACATGTACAAAATAATGTAAAAAAAATATTTTTTGTTTAATGATAGAATATAGTATTGTCATCAGTATGACATAAATATACCAAGTTTGCAGTCGATACCACATTGGGAAGTGGGTTAAAATTGAGTTACAAGATTTGAGGATACAACGACGACGACAACAACGACAACAGACAGAGTGAGTTAAATGAAAGCTTGTAAAAAGAGGTCACATGAAGGGATCTCGGGAGTAGTTCTGCAATTCCACCTTCCACGGGCCACTACCTTAAAGGAGGCGATATACGCCGAGTCCGGCGAGGATGCCTGGGGCCCAAGTAAGAATGCTACTCTGGGCCCCCGACGTACGTGTACGTCATCGGAACGGAATCACAAGACAGAACTGATGACGTAGACGTACGTCATCGGAACGGAATCAGAAGGCAAAACTGATGACGTAGATGTACGTCATCGGAACGGAATCAGAAGACAAAACTGATGACGTAGACGTGCATCATTGGAACAGAATTAGAAAACAAAACTGATGACGTAGAGGTACGTCATTGGAACGGAATCAGAAGACAAAACTGATGACGTAGAGGTACGTCATTGGAACGGAATCAGAAGACAAAACTGATGACGTAGACGTACGTCATTGGAACGGAATCAGAAGACAAAACTGATGACATAAACGTACATCATTGGAACGGAATCAGAAGACAAAAATGATGACGTAGACGTACGTCAGCCGAATGGGAAAGGGTTAAGATACTTGTAAGTCGTTTAGACTGCCACGCTGGGAGAACAAAACTCCACATTTAAAAAACCTTGTTTATCCACAGGCCTGAACTAAACCTCCAGATCTCGACAGTGCATGCTCAGCGCTACGGCCTCCGAAAACCACCCAGCCAGGTCGACGCAAGTTTAATTTGATTTTTAAAACTCCACTGTGACCAAAACCTCACAGCTTGACGAGCGGTCAAACGTCAGGGTCTGACGGTGGGCTCGCCATCGCCGGACAGGGTTCACGGCGTTGCGTCTCCGAGAAATCTTTCCGTGTGCAAATGTCCTTTTCAATAATACATGGAGATGGGGCGGCATCCGGTTCGCGAGCCGCTCTCGAGGAGCCATCGAGCTTGCGAGGAAGCGCCCCGTGAGTTGACCAGGGCGGCCGCAACGCACTTTCACAAACGACTCTCTCTCTCTCTCTCCCCTCTAGGCGGAATCGCTGTGTTGCTTTTGTATCGTTTGTTGTTGTTGTTGTTGTGACTTTCTGACCCCACCCCCCCCTCCGACTCCCCTGCTTGACAGCTGTCAAAAAAATACATCTCCGTAGCTTATCGGATTTCTCCAGGATAGATAAATATTTCGATTCTGGTCGTGGGAGTTCAAACTGAAATCAAAACACAGCGAGAGCTGCTCCGAACGCAACAATCACAACACGCAGAGGCGTTGCTCACAAAGAGCAGGAAGGCATGAGGCTCCCACCATCGCGCTCATTACACACACACACACACACGCAAAGTTCTTGCTACGAATGAACCACGATACCGTGCCGATCTCATCAAGGAGCATGAACCATCATCGTCATCGCAGCAGCAGCAGCAGCAGCTTTTGGGTGACCGTCGAACAAAGACGGTGGTAACCGCATCGCGCGGCGCTTTCAGATGCGCTTCTGCGGCCGTCTGGAACGCTTTTTCTTTCGATGTTAGGAAGCCCCTGGGAGCTATGCACTTGCAAATCAAAAATTGAAAACTCGTTTTTATTTAGAACTGTTTTGAGTGTTCAGTTTGTTGTCCTTCCCCCCTGCACCTCTCGATTAGCACGGTAAGCTACGTACGGTACGAAAGCAGTTCAACGTACATACATCATAATAATAATAATTTAGATTGACAAAGCGCCCTTAAAACAATCGTTCTCAGGGCATGCGTGTCACGTGACCATCACGTTGCATGTACAGTGCTCTCAGCCTTGTCAAGACGAGGTCCAGATGGCATCGTCATGATCGTCGGAAAGCGTGGGCATCGAAGGCGCGCATTGAGTCAACCCAGCCAACTCGGTTCTTAAGAACAACAAATCTCTAAGAGAGAGACAGAATTTAGCACGAATTAAGTCTAAAAAAAAACATTTGTAAGCGATGCGTTTTCTGTGCAGTCATCTGTGACTGCTGATCTGAGCCCATCAACTCGCTGCACTTGTGAATCCACTTGAGCCCCGCGGGGTGGCTGAGCCCCCGCGGGGTGGCTGAGCCCCCGCGGGTGGCTGAGCCCCCGCGGGTGGCTGAGCCCCCGCGGGTGGCTGAGCCCCCGCGGGTGGCTGAGCCCCCGCGGGTGGCTGAGCCCCCGCGGGTGGCTGAGCCCCCGCGGGTGGCTGAGCCCCCGCGGGTGGCTGAGCCCCCGCGGGTGGCTGAGCCCCCGCGGGTGGCTGAGCCCCCGCGGGTGGCTGAGCCCGCTGATTACGACGCAGTGCCGATTCGGTGGACCGACGCCCGAGCCAGCCTGAGCCAGCCCGGTTGGCTACGTCCGGTGCGAAAGAAGTTCAACGTACATCCACACTGCACGTAAACTAACGATGCCCATAGACTCAACGCTGCACCTCCGATTAGCACGGTTGGCTACGTACGGTGCAAAAGAAGTTCAACGTACATCCACACTGCACGTAACCTAACACTACCCATAGACTCAACGCTGCCCATAGACTAAACGCTGCACCTCCGATTAGCACGGTTGGCTGCGTACGGTGCGAAAGAAGTTCAACATAGAGTACACACATACGCAATGGGTTCATTCAACCT